GTTATAGAAAGGAAACTACAGACCAATATCCCTTATCAACATAGATACAAGAATTAAACAAAATATTAGCAAATTGAATGCAGAGAAATACAAGGGAGATAATACATCATGACCAAGAGGAGTTTTGATAAGAAAACCAAACAGAGACATTATAAGAAAAGAAAACCACAGACCAGCATCTGTCCTATAAAGAGACACCAAAATACTTAATACAATTTTAGCAAATTGAGTTCTTAAGAATATAAAAAGAATGACAGATCATGGCCAAGTACAATTCATTGCAGGAATATAAGGTTAGTTTAACATGTGAAAATCAATCAAGGTAACTCACCATATTAACAAACTAAAACAGCAAAAGTATTATCGCTTCCTTAGATGCAGAGAAAGAATTTTACAAAATTCAACACCCATTTGTGGCGAACAGAAATTCTCAGCAAACTAATCTCAACAGTGCGCTCTAGTTAAAATGCGCGGAACTGGAGAAAGCCTGAAATAGACGTACACAAGGCCAGGTGATTTGTGAGAAAGATGACAAGGTAATTCAGTGGGTAAAAGGATGGTTTTTTCAAAAATGTGTTAAAACAGCTAGACACCTTGATGGGAAAATCAGAGCCTGGGTCTGACCTAATATCATACACAACTCAGAGACTCAGAGATGTCCACAGCCAGACAGAGCATTGCTCACACCCCAGACAAACTGCAAATCAACACACTTTCTTGATCCCATTAGAGACCCGAGGTTACAGGGCAAACAGCTGACACAAAATCTGGAGGGGGCAGGGCTGAGCACTTGGTCACCTGGGACGGATTCTGCTATAGCCAGGGACAGGCGGGCCCCAGAGCCAGGTTGGTGTCCTGGGTGGGGACAGGGCAAGGCTCCCTTAGGGCACAGGAGGAGCCACTTGGGTGGCGGTGTCGGGGGAAGCAGGGGTCCAGGATGCCGTAGGGTGAGGAGGTGGGCTGGAGGCCCTGGGTGACGAGCAGGCCCAGGGGAGAGTAAGGAAGTGGGGTCGATGGACGGACAGGGACAGTGGTGCTGGGTCTGGTGGGGAGTGTCCAGCGAAGGCTGGCACTGGCCTCTCCTGTCATCTCCCCTTTACTTCCCTCTGCCTGTCCCTCTGCTGATGGCACTCAGATCCCCAGATAATAAGTTTCCACTGATGGCAGAGTTAACTGCTCAGATAACACCCAGAGATGGACGTTATTTGACCTCACTGAGGAATCGGTTCTGCCATCGCAGGGTGGGGGGCAGGGATGTGTGGCAGGGCCCCTTCCCGGCCAGAGGGACTCGGGCACTGGGTCTGAGTCATCCACTTCCTCCCTCTGGGTTGGATGACCAGCATCCCTCCCCTGACCCTGTCCTGCTCTGTGAGGATAAGAGGCAGGGAGAGAGGGCTGGGCAAAAGCAGCTGGGCCCACCGAGGTGAGAACCCCCAGCGGGACCCCAACATCTGGGTGTCACTGTGGAGCAGGGTGGCCGAGCCTCAGATCCGGAGCACTGAGGCCCCAGACCCCCTGGCCTGGACAGAGCCCCTGATCACCAGGGGCCCCGACTCCACCTCCACCCCACACCCTGCACCCCATACCCTGCAGACCCCACACCCTGCAGACCCCGCACCCCACACACACCCCACCCCACAGAACCCAAACCCCACAGACCCCCAGCCAAGCTCCAGCTGCCCCTCCGCGCTCCTTCCAGATGCTCCATCTGCTGGTGCTGGCGCTGACCCTCCTGGTGAGCCTGGTCCATGCGGCCGCTGGTGAGTCCTGACCCTGGGCCCGTTCTGTCTCTGTCCCCTCACCCCACCCCCCACAAGCCCAGGGATGGGTGGGTGGGTTCAGAGAAGCCCAGGGTGGTGCTGGCACAGGGAAGGGCTGAACCCGATGGCTGGGTCGTGTCGTGTCCTGAAGGCCCTTCCTGCCCCAGCCCCAGACCAGGCCCTGCAGCGAGCAGGCATCGTAGGGGGACGGGAGGCCCCTGGGAGCAAGTGGCCCTGGCAGGTGAGCCTGAGATTCAGCACCCAGTACTGGAAACACTTCTGCGGGGGCTCCCTGATCCACCCCTGGTGGGTGCTGACCGCGGCCCACTGCGTCGGACCGTGAGTCTCCACAGGGCCGGGCGGGTAGGGGTGGGCCTGGGGCTCTACTCACGCTCCTGGGTGTCCCGGAGGTGGCTCAGCCCCTGAGTAGGTGGCCCTCTCTCTCCCCAGGCAAGTCCAAGACCCCACAGTCCTCAGGGTGCAGCTGCGGGAGCAGCACCTCTATTACCAGGACGAGCTGTTGCCCATCAGAAGGGTCATCCCCCACCCCAACTACTACATAGTTGAGAACGGGGCGGACATCGCCCTGCTGGAGCTTGGGGACCCCGTGAACATCTCCAGCCACGTCCATCCGGTCACCCTGCCCCCTGCCTCCGAGACCTTTCGCCCGGGGACTCAGTGCTGGGTGACAGGCTGGGGCAACTTGAACACGGGACGTGAGTGTCAGGGACCGCTGGAGGGGGACTTGGGCACATCGCGGCTCCACCACCTGGGGTTTCCTCTGGGGAACAGGGTCCCAACCGGCCGGCTCAGGGCGGTGATCCCACACTCTCCTGATGCAGCATCCTTCCTCTCCTCTCACCCCCAGAACCCCTGCCACCGCCATTTCCCCTGAAGCAGGTGAAGGTCCCCGTCGTGGAAAACAGCATCTGTGACATGAAATACCACACTGGCCTGTACACAGGGAACAACATCCCGATCGTCCGGGACGACATGCTCTGTGCCGGGAATAGCAAGAGGGACTCCTGCCAGGTGGGTCTCGCGTCCCCCTGCAGCCCCCAGCCGCCCAGGCCTCACAGCCACCGCTGACCCCTCCCCTCCCCAGGGCGACTCCGGAGGGCCCCTGGTCTGCAAGGTGAATGGCACCTGGCTGCAGGCGGGTGTGGTCAGCTGGGGCGACGGCTGTGCTCAGCCCAACCGGCCAGGCATCTACACCCGCATCACGCACTACTTGGACTGGATCCACCAGTACGTCCCCGAGGAGCCCTGAGCCCGGTCCCCAGGGTTGCCACCTGGATCAGCGGAGAAGCCAGTCCCCTCCTGTCCCCACACCGCTGCTTCCTGCTGAGGCGGCAACCTTCCCCACCTTCCCTGGCCCCCTGCCCTGAGCACCCCCTGTTGACGCCCCTGCCCCGAGCCCAGGGAGCGGGCAGTGGGCACTAACGCTCATTAAAGATCATGAAAAGCAGATGTGGTCGTCGCTGTGTTTCTGGCTGTGGGTGTCGCTGAGGGAGAGGGAAGGGTCCAGGGCCCAGCCAGGTGCAGTCACCCTCTCTGTGGGTCCCCGGTCCCTGAGCAAATGCCTTGCTGTGGGGATGGCCCTCACCCTGCCCCTTGTGCCCGGGGCTGACTTCTCTGCACACTGGCTTGTGTCTCTTTTTGGTGAGTGGCATCGTGGTTTCGGGACAGATAAAGAAACACGGGCCATTTAGATGATTCTCAGGGCACCAGGTACCCAGCAATGGGGTCAAGGGCCGGAGCATCACCCCCCTCAGCCAGGTCCCTCCATTTTGCTTTTGCAGCCTGTCCCCTCCCCCAGCGCCACCCCACCCATCCCAAGACCAACAACCAGGACTACCCAGCCCAGGGGATGGCCCCCGGGGAGGGCTGGCAGGCAATCCCTGGCATGCGAGGCTGAGGATGGGGACTCCCCGACTCCCTCTGCCTCCAGGATGACCTGGAGGGCCTCTAGTTGGCCAGGGGCCAGGTCTTGACTGCAGGCGGTGTGGTGAACTGGATAGGGGCTGTGCTCCGCATCCTTGTTTCTACACAGAAACTAGTCAACTGTCCCATCCTCCTGCCCTCTAACCCTTGACCTATGACCCCTCTCTAGCAGGGAGATTGCAGGCCAGAGGCTGGGCCTGGGGGAAGAACCACTGCCGCAGCCCTGGGTCCGGCCCAGGTCAGCATATTCTCCCTGTGGGAACTGAGGCCAAGGTCACATGCAGGAGAGTCTGCAGACCCCATCACTCCAGGTCCAGCTGTGCCCCGCCCCGAAGCCCACACCAGGGCCGCCCACTCTGGGAAGCCCTGCAGTTCCAGGAGCCTCCACCAGAGGGAGCCCTGGCACCTCCTGTGAGGGGCTGGGCAGGTGGGGAGTGGGGGAGGGGCTGGGCAGGTGGGGAGTGGGGGAGGGGCTGGGTGCAGCCCTGGGCCCTATGCTGGGGACTCACTGCCCACCCGTGTCAGAGCAAATAGGCCCCGGCCTCAGCCAGGTAGAGCCCTGGATGGCACCTCCCACCACCTAGCCCAGCCCAGAGGCAGCTGAAGAGCGTCAGGGGCCTGCCGTCCCAGTGTCACTGGGCTCCTGCTTTGCTGCATGGAGAGAAGGGCTTGGACCCTAACCTGAAGCCAGCTCTGGGTTGGGTACAGCCCCCCATTGTGTTCACAGCCACGGTCTGTGAACTTGTGGAGGATCACAAGTTCTATCCTGACCCAGCCCCCTTCTGTACCTGCTCTCACGGGGAAGGGGTGACTGGGGGTCTGTGCACTAGGGCTGCGGCCGAGAAGCCAGCAGGGCGTGGGGCGGGTCTAGGGTCAGAGCCTTCAGGTAGGCAGACAGCAGAGAGGGGGGTGGCCCCTGCAACCCCAGGTGACTGCCCAGCTGGGAAGCGCTCCCACGGGGGCCTGCCCCCTGCTCCCACAGCACCCATTCCTGCTGGAAGCCCTGGCAGAAACTTGTTCCTAATTGGATCAGTCCTTGTTTCTCCAGTGTGTGAATGATATCACATAGTTCTGGCTGCCAAGATGAGCTCTACTTTTCCAGGGAAGGAGGGCTTTCTATCTGCGATCTGCCCAAGTTGGGGGGGGGGGGAGCCTGCAGGAGGGCTTTGTGGAGCCCCGTGCTGCTGCTGGTGGTGGAGGCATCACCCAGGTTGGCCCTCACCAAGGCCATGGGCTTGCCACCTACCCACGTGAGGGACCGATTCTGACAGTGGAAATCCAACGCATTTCTTAAATAAGTTAATATTTATTCCACTCTGCTTTGCCCCCCTCCCCTCCCCTTGGCTTGAGAAGCCGAGTTTTCTGCATCGGATTATTGCAAATGTTTAACCTGAATTTATAACAGAAACAAAATGAAACAAGGGGGCATCAGCTGAAACTCTCGGCCCAAGCCCCACGGGCAGTGAGGGTCTTATTGCATGGTCCCCACTCCCTGGTGACCAGCTGTTTCCCAGAGACCGGAGTCAAGGGCATTCTCCGGAATCCTGAGGGGGACAGAACGGTGGGCAGTGGGTATTGGAGGGGGGATGAGACAGCAATGAGCAGTGGAGACAAATGGATGAGAACTCAAACTGTGAGCAACGTGAAGCGTGACCACGGTGGCCTTGGGGATGAAGCTGGAGGGCATAAATGGCCCTAAGCATGTATAAAAATAAGCGGATGTGAGAATGGGGCTCTGCTAGGTGGCCTCTGCCTTTCTACTTTTGGTGTTCTCTGGTTCTTGTCCCTTGGACATAGCTCTCGTTATGGGACTGCTGACCAGGCTACTGGCACGGCCTGGGACCATGGCAGCAGACTCGGAAATCCCCAACTTTAACTGAGGCTTCGGGCTGTGGGCTCCCCCTGCTCCACTTCGCCCACAATTGCATCTGCCTCCTTCTCCCTGTTATGACATCCTTCCGGCACCTTTGCCTTCAGTGGGGCCGGACCCAGGGTCCACGTGTAACCCTGCCTGGGCCACCACCCTGCTGGGTGCACCCCAACCCCAGTGCCAAAGCCTGTGGGCACTGCACCCCGAGCTACACGGGCTTGTCCACACTGTCACCCAGGACTGGGGTGGACCCCTTCTTCAGTGGGCTCTCAGGGACTGTGAGGTGCAGCCCCCACCCTTCCTCTGGGGGGTCTCCCGAGGCCACTGGAGGCTCCGTCTGCTGGGGTTCGGGAGGTGCCGTGATGCCTGAGGAGGAAGGTCTGGGTTCTGGGGCGACACCATGGCCACCATCCAAGAACAGGTCCCCCCTGGGGCCCCCCACATCCAGCGGCTCAAAGGCAAAGTTCGGGATGGTCAGGTGCTCCGTGCGGCAGGGGACCTGGACCCGCCGTTCCCCCTTGGCGGCAGTGTCCAACCCTGCACTGTCTGTGGGCTCCAGGGGGTCCCTGTGGGGCACAGCCTCGCAGGATGGGGTTCTCCGCCGCAGGGTGGTGCTACCGCCCTCCGCTGCAGGGGCCCGGGCCGCACCCTCGTCCTCCGCGGGGGGCTCTATGGAGATGCAGGGGGGGCTCATCTTCTTCTTCCTGCGTGCCCCCAGGGCCAGCTCGGCCTCCAGGGCCCGGGTCTTCACCTCCCCGGCCTCTGGGCGGCTGTCCCCACAGCCCTGCTCCCCGGAGGGCCGCCTCTGCTCGTCCGCCCAGCCTGGCTGGTCCAGGAAGCCCTGGGCATTGACATTGTAGAGCCTGTGCAGGTCTGGCTCACCGCCCACCACCCCACAGGCAGCAGGTGAGGCCGAGGGGCTGTGGGCAGAGCTGGTGATGTGGCTGACCTCCTCGTCAGCTGGGTCTGGGGCCTCAGCCTCCTCTGCGCCCAGGACCGGTGGCCGGCTGGAGATGTAGTTCCGTCCAAAAGTGTGCTTGCGGATGCGGATGCTGGTGGGCCGCGGGGAACAGGGTGGGGATCGCAAGGAGGGCCCCAGGGGCGCCTGCCTCACTGGGGTCTTCCCACCAGGCTCTCCCCAGCCCAGGCTGCTGTCCCTGGGACCATCCACCTGCCCTTCTAGGGACTCTGTGCAGACTACCTCCTGCAAAGACATGGAGTCATATGAGACCAGCCAGAGCCCAGGCAACAGGGACCCCACCCCCCACCACAGGCCAGGAAGACCTCGTGACCCCCAAGGCTATGGGCCAGGGTGAGATGGGGCTGCGAGACACTGGTGTGGAAGCACTGTCCCCCAGCCCTAGTGTAGGGGCCCCCACCAACGCTGGTCATGCTGGGGAGGGGCCGTGATGAGCAGAGGGCTGGAGCCCAAGCTTCCATGGGCAGAATCTGCCATGGGCCTCTGGAGACCCGATGGGGCACAGAGCCAGGCTGCAACCACTGCCTGCCTGGCACCACCAGCTCAGCTTGACACCTCAAGGAGGGAGGAAGGGAGAGGGGCCGAAGTCTCAGGTGAGAGTGGTCTGTGGGTACATCCAGGCCCACAGGAAAGGTTGCTGGGGGGGCCTGAGGGAGGGCGAGGCTGCCGCCTGAGGGGACACGGGTCCCCATGGCCAGGTGGCATCATCACAGGCTCCAGGGACACAGCGCCTACTTCCCCAATGTCCCTGTCACTCATCCTTCAAAAGGGGAGGGAACCCCCACGGAGCCCCCAGGCCTCAGCTGCGGACCGGAAGTCTCCTACCTGTGTGCAGAGCAGCCGGCTGAGACTAGGGGAGCGGGCTGCACCCAGAGGGGTCAGGGCACGGAGGGTGTCGCCGCCCCTGGCCGGGGAGGACATAGCCGACGGGACCTGGAGGGATGGGCAGGACTCCACAGGCGGCAAGTGGGCGGTGACTGGGCCTGGGGCAAGAAGGTGCCTGAAATGTGCATTCGCCGCTGGCCCCACCCCTGCCCCTGCCGGCCCTGGCCGGCCCCGCCCGCCCAGGTCCTGGCTGTCTCCACATGGGGCTGTACCCGAGGTGCCCGAGGCGCCCGCGTAGGTCTCCATCTCCACCTCCTGCAGCGGGTGGGGATGAGCGGCCGCAGCGGGTGCCACGGGCCGGAACATGTAGCTGTCGTTTGGCAGTGAGAGCATCCTGGACACAGACACCTTGCGCACGACCAGCAGGTTGGGGGCGTCCGGCGAGGCACCTGAGCTCGGCAGGGCCGTGGGCCTGGGGCGGGCGGAGGGCCCCTGCGCCATCTCCAGCTCGACCTCCGCGTCCAGCTCGGCATCCTCGCGGGCCTCCTTGTTGCTCTCCTCCAGGTGCTTCATGAGCACGGCCACCACCACGTTGACCAGCACGAACTGGGCCACCAGCACGAAAGTGACGAAGTAGATGGGCGAGATGGCCGGCAGGTAGCTGAGGCAGTGCCTGTCCTCACGGGCACACTCCCGCAGCGTGTCCTGCGGGTGGAGGGCGGCGGGCAGGCTCCCACCTCCGTCTGCGGGGCCTCTCGTGGACTCCCACCGCCCCGCCCACCGCGTGGGCCGGTACCTTCATGATCCCGTTCCAGTTGTCCCCCGTGGACACGCGGAACAGTGTGAGGAAAGCCATGCCAAAGTTGGAGAAGGTGGCGTGTCTACTCAGGCCCTCGCAGGGGTTGTCCTCACTGCACTCTGCCGGGAGGGACCTGGTCAGCCCGCCTGTTGGGGCCAGTCCGCACACAGGCCCTGCCCTCCCACAGGGAGAAAGGCACGCTCCTCTGGGATGCAGGGTGGTGGCACAGCTCAGGGGCCCTGGCAGGTGGATGCCTTCAGCACAGGCCCAGCTCTGCATCAGCATGCCCCCCTTCTATTCTGAGGAGTAACAGGGCTGCCCTGGGCATGAGGCGGCCCAGATCCAGGTTGTGGGGCACTAGCTGCTGGGTCTGAGGAGCCCCTCTGGGCAGACCCTTGAACCCACTGAGCCTTCATTGACACCCAAAAGGAAGGGTGCTCCCACAGGGTCTGGGCTGCCACGAAAGGTCCCCACGGACCCCTGCCCGGACTAGCCAGAGCCTCACGCCTGGGGGTCTGAGGAAATCCTTGGTGACAATTAAGGACTTGCTGCAGCATGTCCCCTGGGGACCAGGTGGAGTTCAGGTCACACCTGCGTGTGGGCACGTGCACTCACACTCATGTGCAGCTCTGTCCTCCTGGCCTGGGTATGAACACATGTGCGTGTCTGTGTGCACGTCATGCGTCTGTCACAGCACTTTCGCATGTGCCAAGTCACCTCACAGTGAAGGGCTGACAGGAGCAGGGGCCAGGGCCTCAGCTTGGCCAGCACCCGGAGCCATCCGCGGGCTGTGTGCTCACGCATGATGCTGCGCCTTCTGGGACCCCGTGTCTGGAGTGTGGGCCACGGCGCGGCTGCACTCACCGAGCCTCCCAAACAGCTCCACTCCCAGGGCAGCATAGATAAAAAACAGGAGCATGAAAAGCAGGCCGAGGTTCCCTACCTACATAGGAGAGAAGCAGAATGAGGTCAGTGGGGCCTCAGTCTCACCCCACCCCCTTTACCCAAGACCCGCCCAGCAGGGCATCAAGTTCCTGGGGACTGCCTCGAGCCCTGTTCTTAATCCATCCCTCTTGGCCTCGGAGCTCCTGTGGCCCCCAGGGCTCCCTGTCCTGCCTGGTGCCCAAGGCCCCTCTGCTGGCCTCTGCCCCTGCTCGGCTCCTCATGCCCACCCGGCACCCAGGGTGCTGCCTCCAGCTCCTCTGCTCCCCAGAACCTGGGAGGCCTCCCGAGGGCTCTGGTGGACTCTGTGCAGGGCCTGCCTCCAGCCTCAGGGTCCCCACCTCAAGGTGAAGGCTGAAGCTCTGCAGACAGTGAGGTCTGGTCTGACCCCTGCCCGAGGCTCTGCTGTGAACTTGCCGCCCACCCTCCCAGCGTCTGCTCACGCTCACTCTGGGCTATGGGGTGGGGGGGCGGCGCAGGGGCACCCTCACACGCCTCCTCACCCTGATGTGGCTGCTCCCCCTCTTCTCCAGCACCTGCTCCGGCCCCCAGAGGCATGGCACTGGGGCGTGGCCAGGCCCGGGTTTCCCATCCTCCACCCCCACCCCTTCCCGTCACTCCCACAGACACTGGGCAGGCTGCAAGGAGAGCTGAGTATAACTCAGGTCTGAGGAATGCTGCTAAGGGGACCAGTAGGGGCCGGCTGAAGGTGGAGGGCGTGGAGGGCTGGGGGGTTAGTGGGCAGCTGGGGAGGCAGCTGGGTGGATAGAAACATGCTGGGCTGGTGGACAGACAGCTGGCCAGGAGGGCTGGATGCTGGACAGCTGGACACCTGGTAGATGGGTGGACAGACAGCTGTGTGAATGGATAGACAGACGTGTGGGTGGCTGGGTAGCTGGAAGGCTAGTTGAGAGGGCTAGATCCACGGCCAGATGGACATGTGGACGGATGGCTGGTCAGGTGGACTGGCAGAGGGACTGAGTACTGCACAGATGGAGAAATAAGACTTTCAGCTCAAGAGACCACAAAGGATCAGTGTGGTGGCTGTTGGGCACAGGACGCGAGGTCGCAGGGCCTGAACTGGCTCCAGAGGAGAGAGGCCTGTGGCCAACACCTGAGCCCTGGGTGTGGTCCTCCAAACTCGACAAGCACACCTTTGCCACAGGCTCTGCCCTCTGCCCAAATCCCACTGCGTCCAGAATTGCACTGGGGGATATGGGCACTGGTCATTGGTCTTCCCCAGAGAGACTAGACTGAGGCCCGGAAGGCAGGCAGCACGCCCCTCTCACAGCACAGCCCAGCAGCTCAGTTACTCCTTGCACCCGGCAGGGAGCAGGGTTGGTAACTGCAGTTGCCACGAGACGGGGCGACCAGGTGAACGAGTGCTGATTGACAGTGAGTGAGGCCCTCCCTGCAGCCTGTCCTCTTGGGGGTGTCTGTGATGCCCACCCTAGGAGCAGGGAAGCCAGACCCAGGCCCAGCCCCCGAGCTGCCGACCTACCTGGGGCAGCGCCTGAACCACTGTGTCCAGCAGGGCCCGCATACCCGTGGCCATCTTGAGCAGCTTCAGCACTAGGGCCGGGAGCCGAGCATTAGCGGGGAGGGGGTGGGGCCGGCCAGACCCGGACCACCCGTCCCCCCACTTCCCGTCACCAGCATGACGCACCAGTGCGGGTTGAGGAACGACACGGGGTAGGTGGACCCCTGAGCCCTGTCTACCGGCCCTCCTGACAGCCCGGAGACCCTGGCGGGACGGGCGGGCGGCCTACCGCGGGCGATGCGCAGCACGCGCATGATGCGGATGATGGTGGGGTTGATGGGCAGCGCCGCGTTCATCTCTATCTCCTCCAGTGTGATGCCCATGATGGACAGCAGGACGATGGCCAGGTCCAGCTGGTTCCACCTGGGCCGGGCGGGCAGGCATGATTCAGTGCTGGCCACTGCCTCTTCCCCAGCACCCCTAGCCCTTCAGAGCACCAGGAGTCCCCTCCCTGTCCCCTGGAAATGTCCTGGTGTCACCACAGGGCATCTTGCACCTCTACTCAGCACCGTCACCTGGGCAGGCCTCAGGCCACGGCTCTTTCCTGCCCCTGCTCCACACACCTGTCCTTGAAAAACCTCCGGAACCCAAACGCCACCAGCTTCAGCAGGGCCTCAAAGACGAAGACGATGGTGAACACATAATTGCAGTACTTGAGGGCCTCGTCCAGAGACTGGGGATGGAGTGTCAGGCTCCTGAGTGTCAGGCTCCCTGCCCGGCTGCCCCTTCCCACCCATCCTCCTGCCCCCTTGCAGCACTGGACGCCCCCCCGCCACCGCCGCCCCCGCACCTGTGCCCTGTCCACCCTGCTCCATCTCTCTCCTCTGCTGACCTGGGCACCTCCTCAGATACGGGACAGGTCTCAGCTATTACTGGATGCAGGTCTGTGCTGGGCTGGGGAGGGCCGCCTGGATTTACGCTCGCAGCATTCTGGGGACAACTCTCAGGTGGGGGAACCTGCCCCTCGGAGCCCAGACTTCTGGCCTTGCCTGGACCAGAGCCACCCACAGCCCAGGGCAGGGGCCAGCCCTCCGGATGGGCTCAGCTTCAGCCAAAGAGTCAGAGGCTCTCTGCTGTTCTAGGAGGAGGGGGCGTCCCCGTCTTTAATGAAATGGTGGCGATGCGATCAGAGGACATCTCCCTCTCTCAGTCTGGCCTTTCCTGGACTGTGAAATCCACAGTCTGGGAAGCTGCTGGACTCGGGGACACTCCCTTAGCCAGCATTTTGGATGGGACTTCTCATGGGGTTGGGGAGGCCCTTGGGGCAGATGTGCCCTGGGAGTTTCCACTGGTTTTAAAGGAAGGAGGACCCTTTGTTCCAGCCACACATCCATGTACCCCATAAACCCCGGTGAGGGCTCAGGCACTGCTGCAGACCTGGGGCCCCCAGTTCTTAGTGTGGCACCACCTCACTGAGCAATGGACCCCACCCGCGGCCCTCCCCGCTGCAGGCCTAGAGGCAGGGTGGGTGGGGTATCCAGGCAGCGAACCCCACCTTGGGCTGGTTATAGTGCTCCATGGACATGGTGATGACGTTGACGCCGATGATGAAGGTGATGAAGAGGTCCAGATAGTGGCTGGTGCACAGAGAGTGGATGGAGCGACGCGTGGGTGAGTAGTCCGCATAGTAGGGCCGGCGCTGGGCCTCTGTGGGAAGAGGGCCATGGTGAGGGGGTGGGTGGGGTGGGGTGGGAGGGCTGCCTCCCAGGGGCTGGAGGGTAGAGGTGCTGGGGGAGGGCCCAGGCTCAGACGTGGGCCTCAGGGGCAGGTCACCCACTGACCTACTCCACCAAGAGGGCCCCAGCCCCAGGGCAGACCCCAGGAGTGGGCCTGGAAGCTGAGACCCCACCTGCGTCCTGCCGTGGGGCCCTGCCCAAACCCCGCCCTGCCGGGAGCTCCCAAGCCAGGGCCTGTGTGATCTACTCTCCTGAGCTGGCATCAGGGTTCAGAGACACCTCAGTGATGAAGGGTGGGCAGATGGGAGCTTTCTTGGGGGGCAGGGCAGAGTGGCTACCACACCCCCATCTTCCAGGCTGGGCATGTGCTGCCTCCTGGCCCCCAGGCCCAGAGTCCCTCCACTCCCTGTACTCCAGGAGGCCAGTGGGCAACTGCCTACTGCCTGCTGTCTGGAGTCTGCCCGCTCTCTGGTACATCTGAGGTTGATGGCCATGACCTGGGTGGCGGGGGGAGGTTGTGCATCTCCCAGCAGGTCTGTCTGCACTAAATGCTCCATCTGCTCTAACTCTTTAGGGCAGATCAGTGCCCACTGAGCTCCCACTGGGTGAGCGCATAGCTGCCACCACTGCATAGGGGACCCACCTCGGCCACAGAAGCCCGTGGGCAGGGACCAGGTAGAGCGGGGGCCGACGGGAACCGACCCCTCCCTGGGGCCCGCATGCTCCTTGGTCTGGCATGCGGTCACTAGAAAGCTTGGCTCAGCTCTTGCAGCCAAAGGGGCCAGTGACCAGTTGGGCCAGGCCAGCACTGAGGACATGGAGTAGCCACCGGCCGGCAGGCTTCCCAGAGTGCAGCAGAGAAGCAGTCAGGCATGCAGGCCGGGCGGAGGAACACACACGAGCTTGAAGGCAGCAGCATGGACACCAGGCAGGCGAGCCAGCAACCCTTCCTCCCACTGGCGCCCGGCGCCCACCCCAGCCGTCCCGTGCCCACCCTGCGCTGGACCCCAGTGGGCTTGGCACCCGCCTGCGATGTCCACCCTTCCCTGTGGCAGTGGCAGAGGGATGGAGGTCAGGCCAGTCCGCAGCCCTGTGCAGTGGCCTGCAGAAGTGGGGGTTAAGGCATGCAGGGCGGGGGCAGGTACCTGGGTTGGGGAAAGTGCCTGGAAAGACAAGGAGATGGTCTGAGCTGGCCGCGGTGGGCAGGGCTAGGAGACTCCATGGGGTGGGCGGGCAGCTCAGCAGCCTCTCCTGGAAGAGGCCCTCTTTGCTCCCCAGCTGGGTGGGGTTTTCTAAGACCCTCTCTCTGTCTTGGATGGCTCTGCTTGCTCCCCCCACCGTGGCGTGAAAACTCATGGGGTGAACCTGCCCTTGCGGTGGTGGGGGGTGGGAACTGGGGCCTCATCCATCCCCTGTACCTCCTGGGAAGGGACCCCACCTCCTGCTGCAGCCATCCTTCTCTGAGGGCAAGAAGGGCAAGCGTGTAGAGTCACTCGGTGAGGCCGGAGTTGCGGGTGGGGCAAGGGGACTGGGGCCAGGTAGGGGGCTCTGGGGCCAGGCTGCTGAGCTGCTGCCTGCACAGCCCTGCGCCGAGCACAAGGGAGACCCGGGCTTAGGCCAGCAGCAGCCGGGTCTCAGAGCCACCCCTTGGCTGGTCCCCCGGTCCCCAGCCACCCTCCCACAGGCGAAAGGGGGGCCTCAGGCAGGTGGAAAAGGCTGGGGTGACGCGCAGGTACCGACCCGCCACCGCCACCGGGAGCGCCTTACTCCTGCGTTTCCTCTCCAGGCGCCGCTGCCGCTTCTCTTCCCGCCGCCGCGCCTCCTCGGCCTCCTGGTGCTGCCGGCACTTGTGGAAGTTCTCCACCACGACGCCCACGAACATGTTGAGCACAAAGAAGCTGACGATGAGCAGGAAGGAGATGAAGTAGAGCAGCATCCAGGGGTTGTGGTTGGGCACCGGCTGCGGCACAGGAGTGGCACGTGGGTGCCTGCCCACAAGGGCGCCCCTCCCGGGCACGGCCTCTGCCTGCAGGGTAGCTCTGACCCCCGACGTGGAACTCTCCAGAAGTTCTCAGAGGCCAAATGCGGCCTCTCGGGGGACATTCCCTGAGATGACCAAAGGACACGGGAAGAAAGGTCTGCTTGAAGGAGCAGGGCTGCCCACCGCCCACTGCACCTGCTGGTCTATGCCCACGGCGTCCAGCCCGTCGTACATGATGTTCACCCATCCGTCCTTGGATGAGAGCACGAACAGGGACATCAGCGCCTGCGAGGCCAGAGCAAGGTGGTTACTTCTGGACGTGGCCTCCTGCTGGGGAGACGCCCCAAAGGACCACACCCCCTACCACAGCCCCACGCACAGCAGACCCACCCACGACTCGCAGACCCGCCATGCCGCTCCCACCTTACAGATAAGGACGAGGTTAGGTGAGGTCACCCCCGCCAGGCTTGCCCCCCATCCCGACCACCACCCCACCCCCCAGCCCTGCCCACCTGGCCCAGGTTGTCGAAGTTGTACTTGCGTCGCACCCAGCGGTAGTGCGCAGCCCAGCACTCGGCTTTAGTGGAGATGTTCCTGGTGTCAGCGCCCTCGCAGTAGTAAAACTTCCCCTTGAAGAGCTGACCAGGGCGGGGTAGTCACCCAGAGGGCCAGGCCTTGCACCCCCACGCTCCAGACCCACCCCCACAGGGCCTCCCAGAGCAGCCGGACAGAAAGCAACGTCTCTCTCGCTGCCTGCCTGGGCCTTGGCCCTCCCGGGGCTGCTATGCTGCTGCCGACCACAGACCACCGTCCCACAGACAAGCAGAGCCACGCACCTGCACCCCTAGGATGCCGAAGATGATGAAGAAGGCACAGCAGATGAGGACAATGTTTCCGATGGGCCTGAGTGACGATATCAGAGTCTCCACCACCAGTTTGAGGCCTGGGGCACGGCTGATAACCCTGCACGAGGAGCAGAAGAAATGTGCTGTTGAGCCCACCCAAGGGAGCTGCCACCAGACAGAAAGCCCAGCGCTGCAAAGACCTCACCCCCTGCTGGCCCCAGGCCCTTTCCCTCCCCAGCTCTGCCCCACCCTCTGGCTCCGCCCCACCCTCTGGCCCCACCCCAACCAGCCACAGCCCCGCCCATTCATACCCTTACCTTCCCCAAACTCCACCCCATCCTTCCCCAGCCCTGCTCCGATCCCCGATTCAGGCCCTGCCCCACCGCCCAGTCTACCGCAGGGGCCGCAGTGTCCGCAGCAGGCGCAGCACACGCAGGATGCCCAGGATCTTGGCACCACCGGCCGACGCCATGGCCACGATGATGTCAACCAGGGACACCAGGACCAGCAGCCCATCCAGTATGTTCCAGCTGCTCTGCAGGTAGGCATGCTCACCAGAGACCAGGCCCAGGGCCACCACCTAGTGGGTGCAGAGGAGGGGCTGGTGGACATACGTGCTGCACACGGGGCCAGGGTGGGGCCACTGGGCAGGGCTGTGAGGCCGGATGGACAGATGCCTGGGCTCCCCTGGACACCCTGTACCTTCACCATCATCTCGGCCACGAAGATCGCCGTGAAGATGTAGTTGGAGATGCTGAGGAAGACGCGCTCCTGCAGAGGACAGGATGATGGAAGGGGCCAGCCGCAACGGCGGGACCCCACCCCTCCCAGGCAAGGAGGGCGCCTCACGGTGCTGCCGGGGTCAATGTCGGGCCTCTCCAGGGCGATCGTGATGCAGTTGAGGAAGATGAAGACCAGGACGACGTGATCAAACATCTTGTGAGCAATGATCTTCTGGCAGGAGATGCGGAGCCTGGGGGCCGGGGGTGGGGGTTCAGGGACAGCCCTGGCCAAGCCCTTGCTTCCCGTCCCCAAGGTCCCAGGGGAGGAGCACAGCGCTCACCACGTGGTAGGGACGCAGGGGCCCAGAGGGAGGGGTCAGCTTTCCCAGGTTTCTCCCAGGTGTGCCCCATACCTGTTCTGTGGGGAGAAGAGGTACAGGGCCCAAGGCTCGCGGCTCCGACAGCACTCGGGCTTGTAGGGCTCCAGCACTTTCTGCAGCCGGGAGCAGCAGCTCTGGGGAGGGGGGGGGTCCTCAGGGCCCCTCCCAGCCTGGGCAGCCCCCAGCCTCTCCTGCCTTCAGGCTCAGCCCTGTCCACCCACCCGGGCACTGGGTGAGGGACCTACGCTGGGAGTCCAGGGGGGTGCCGGTAAGTGGCCATCCTCAGATCCCTGCCCAGGTGGGCCTCCCAGCAAAACTGTCCAGGGCAGCAGAAGTGCCTAGCTGAGAAGGTGGTTCTGCTCTCTTCCCCTCTCCTCCCATGGGGCTCTCCTTGGCTGACCGACTCCAGCTCAGAGCAAGCCCTCAGCTGGAGGTGGGGCTGACCCTGGGGCGAATCCCACTCCAGAGCTCCCTGCGGATCAGCTGAGGCCACACCAGCCGGATCAGCTCCTGCCCAGCTTGTCCTGCTTCCCTCCCCCGTCCCAAGGGCCTCCCACGAACGCTGCTCCCGAGTCCCCACCTGGGAAACCAGCCCACGACAGGGGGAGGCGAGGGGCTGACGTGAGGCCCACCCCCACTCACATCCTCCACATCATCGTCAAACTCGGCCGTGTCCTCCTTGTGGCTGTCGATGCGCAGGAATAACTCGCTGGGCAGGGCCAGCCCGTTGCAGTCGTGGAGCTTGGTGGGCAGCAGGGCAGCCGGCCGCAGGGGCCGCAGGTCAAGCGTGCTGCGGTGGTCCAGGGACTCGGTGCGCCGCAGCAGTGTGGCACGTGTGTCTGGCGAGGCTCCCACACCAGGCCTGCTGTCCTCGGCCTCCTCGTCTGTGCTGCCGCTGCCCTTGCCCTCGCCGGACAGCAGCGACTCACGCTCCCCGCACTGGCTCCTGCGCTTGAGGCTAGGTGCGCGGCCCAGGCTGTTCCAGCTGGAGCGCCGGCTGCTCCAGGCGCTGTTGGGGCCCCAGTGGGTGCAGGGCGAGCTGCGGAGGCTGGACTGCGGGGAGGGGGCAGGAGTGAGCAGGTCAGACGCCCCCCCCCAAGTTACCCCCAAACATCCTGGCCTCAGGGGCACCTGGCACAGGGACCTTTCGCATCCAATGGCATTACCATTGACACCCATGGGTGACATCTGTACATGGATCATCTCCTTTAACGAGCAGACAGCCCTGCTAAGGAGAGACACTAGCGGCACTGAACCTTCAGTGGGGCACCTGTGGCACACAGTGGGTCAACAGCTAGCTGGAGAGACGGCCAGCAAGCGTCAAGAGCACTGAGTGGGCCTCCCGGGCCTGCTCGAGGACCAGAGGGTGGGCGAAGGTTATCAGCGGGCCTGGGACCAGCCACGGACCAGGCATCCTCAGATGCCACCGAGCAGCTGAACTGGATCTCTGGGGCGGGGCCCCACATCAGTTTCTAGTTGGCAGACTCTGGACTCACAAAGAGAAGCCGGGTGCTGCTTATCCAGGAGATAAACTGGACTGTGGTCCGGGGACTTCACCTTTGCTGCACCTACCCTCTTTGCCCTTCATCGTTTTCACCTCAGGGGTCCAGCAGGAGCTGAGCTGGAATCCTGGCTCAACAGCCCTTGTCCTCCTCCCAGAGCGTCCTAGCAGTTTGGCTGTGATGCATCTTGTTGCTAGATCACTCGGCCCACCCAAGGCTCAGCCCTGCACCTTTTCTGTTACCAACACACGATCGTCCTGCCTTGATGGTTTGCCTGGACTTTCCTCCAGGTTCATATCCCTGCGCTTTCTCTCCACGGTTAGCTTGTCCTGCTCTGCCCACCCCTCCCGGGCCCTTCTGAGAAGCCCAGAAGCCGGCTCTGGCTGTGTCTGCTGGGGGTGGTGTTTTCTGGGTTTGTCTGGAAACACCCTGTGGGCTCCAGCTCCACAGGGTGCTGTTGGTCGTGATGCACGGAACTCTCCACCCGGCTTCTGTCACCTGCTTCACATCCTTAGTTTTTTTTTGTATTTTTATTTTTGGTTGGGTTGGGTCTTCACTGCTGCACGCAGTCTTTCTCTAGTTGCGGCGAGCGGGGACTACTCTTCCTTGCGGTGCGCGGGCTTCGCATTGCGGTGGTTTCTCTTGTTGCAGAGTACAGGCTCAGTAGTTGTGGCTCGCAGGCTCTAGAGCGCAGGCTCAGTAGTTGGGGCACACGGGCTTAGTTGCTCCGCGGCACGTGGGATCTTCCTGGACCAAGGCTTCAACCTGTGTCCCCTACATCGGCAGGAGGACTCTTAACCACTGCGCCACCAGGGAAGTCCCACATACTCAGTTTTTTACACCTTTTTGCCATCCTTCTCTGTTTTCCCCATCTTGTATGCTGTGCGCTTTGCCAGCTTTTATCTATGATTGCAAATTGGAAGATAAACTTCCGGCCTGACAGTCTACTCGTCTGTTCATACTCCTCCCATAAAAACGGCAGTTTCTGGCTCCATTTATAGAAAACAAAGCACTCAGGGCCAAGGGATTCCTGGGGTATGACTGGGGGTGTGTGTGCGGGACCCTCACTCATCTCTGGGGAAGGCCTAAGGAACTGGGTGGGTGGAGCCTGAAGGTGCCCTAAGGCCAGGGCGGGGGACCATCCCTACCAGAGACTTCTGGTCCCCCAGCTGGGGGTCCACGGAGCTGCTGCTGCCACGTCGTGAGTCCAGGAGGCCAGGGGCCGCATCCAGGTGTGGGGAGCTCTTGGGGGTGGGCATGGGTGTGGCTGCCGTGCGCATGATGAGGGGAGGGGGTAGGCTGGCCTGGCCCTCCAAGTGCCCGTTGGGGGTCACCGCCAGCGAGTACATCTTCATCTCTGGGTGGGGGGAGGAGGCCGCTTGAGCCTGCAGGGCTCCCAGGAAGGATAATCTGCCCGCCCAGGACCCGCCCACAGGAGTCTCAGCTGTGCCCGGACAGGCAGGCAGCTCCCTCTCCATCCTGTCCCCGCCCCGCCCCCTCACCCGCATGCGTACCTGTGGCCCTGAGGTCTCTGAACTTGTCCAAGTCCTCCTCCAAGTGGGTGGAGGTCTTGTCTTCATCTGTGTCAGACCTGGTGGCATCACCCTGTGCCCGAGGAGCACACAGTACACGTGAGGCTCCCCTCAGGTGGAACCCCCCTACAGGAAGGCCAGGCCAGCACGGGGGCAGGTGTGGACGGAAGGGCCCAGCGGGTGGAGGACGGAATTCTCTCCATGTTGGTCTGCCCAATGTGCCTGGCTCCCACTGCCTCCCCTGGAAGCCCCCCTCACCTCCGCCTGGAAGCCCTCCACAAGGATGGCCACCAGCAGGTTGAAGAGCACGTAGTTGCCAAAGGTCATGAGGGCCACGAAGTAGAGGGCAGCCCAGGAGGAGGTGGAGGCCATGCCGTTGTAGAGGACAACGTTCCAGTCCTCCTGGGTGAGGATCTGGGGGAAAGGGGTGGCGGGGCAGAGTGGGCCCAACATGGGGCCGAGGGGGTGCCAGGACGGTGGGTCTGGCTGTAGAAATGCTGACAGGCCCTTAGGACCAAAAGGAGCTCTGGACAAGTGAGACCAGGTCCACCACCCCAGGGGCCAGAATCAATGTCCCTGCTGCTGTTCACAGCTCGTCACTCACTGTGGCCTTGGACAGGCCTCGGCCCGCTCTGGGGCTGTTCTGAGCAGGGCTGTGGCTCTCCAGGGACTACCATGTACGTGAGGGGACGGCCCCACCTGGCTTTACCTGGAACACGGTGACGATGGCCCACAGCAGGGAGTCAAAGTTCTTCCTGTCAGGGACCGTGTCTCCAGTGTCTGTTTTCAGGCTGAATTTGCAGCCAAACAGGTGCATTCCGAGGATGCTAAGGGCGGCAGACAGGGATGCGGTGAGTGCGGGGGAGGAGGCACAAGTGGAGGGATATGGGGGGTGCTGCCTGGTCACCTCCACACCCAGCAGCTGTTCCTCTACACCTCCCCCCGGACCCCAGCTTTCTGATTTGCAGGGCCCTCCCAAGTGCCCACAGCCGAGCTGTTTCCACTGTATAGGTGGGAAGACCAAGGCCAGCAGTAGGAGGGACAACCAGAGGCCACTCTGGCTTCAGGCAGCAGCCAGGACCTGAGGTGCCTGTCTCACCCAGCCTACCTGGGGCTGTCCTCTGCCCTAGCCCCCTCCCCAAGGTCTGAGGCCCCGGGCCAAGCTGGCCCACGGCAAGGGCTCAGCAAACAGCAGCTGAAGCAAGAAACTCCAGCCTGGCTGCCCCGCCCCTTCTCTGCCTCCCTCATTCTTGGCTTTTGGGGAGGGCACGATCCCCAATCCATCCATCTGGGGGCTGGTCCCATCACCCCACTCAGCTATGAGCCGTGGGAGCAGAGCCCAGTACGCCGGTGCCTGGCACAGAAGGTGCCCAGTCAGTCCTGTCGAAAGGAACCAGTGACTGAGTTTCTGCTGCCACTTTGAAGCTCCTGGCACCCCGGGCCCCAAAGCCACAGCACGGGGCCAGCGCGGTGGGAGGGGCCTCCCCTCGGGGGCAGGCATGTGCTCAGTGCCCCAGGCCTTTCCCACTGGGCGCGCCCACCTGAAGATGAAGATGAACAGCATGAGCAGCATGCAGAAAGTGGCCACGTTATCCATGGTCTTCATGAGCACCACCAGCTGGCGCCGCAGCGCGGGCATGAAGCGCACCAGCTTGAGCACCCGCAGCAGCCGGAAGGTCCGCAGCACCGACAGCCCGCCATCTGCCTGCCCGATGATCTCCCACACGCTGTGGGCAGGTCGAGGCTCAGGGGGGCCTTCTCTGGCTGCGCATCCCTGTGCCCACCCTGACCTTGGGATACCCTCTTCCCAGAAGCAGGAACACCAGCCCGGGAGCCACCGTGGCCTCCGCTCAACCCCACTCTGGGAGCAGGTTCAGCTGCATCAAGGCATCGACAGGGCTGAGGGATGGCGGTGACACCTCTGAAGCCTCCTAATCAGCTGCTGTCCTGCTGGCTGCCCGACCCCTAGAAGCTGCCCAGTCAGAAGCTTCTCAAGTGAGGGCCTTTCCTGCTCCTCCGCCTTTCAAGCTGTGCCTGGCTTGTCTATTCTTGTTAGGGTGGGGGATCCCTTGACTCCTGAGGGCCCTGCTTCCTCCTGGGGAAGGGAATTCCCCCAGATTCTCCAATTCGTTTCTGTGTTGATTTTGCTGCAGCAGACACCCCTCAGGCAAGCTGGCCTTCCTCAAAGGTTCTGAGCCCTGAGTGGAGTCCGGCTGTGAGGCCGAAGGGCCACCGAGTGCCCACTCTGTTCCTGCAGGAACAGCTCCACGAGGTTCTACAAACTTTCACCTGAGTTGCAGCTGACATACCTGTGTGTACCCGACAGTGCTTGTGGGGAGGGGTGGGATCCTGCCCCAAGACATCCCATCCCATGAAATGCTGCTGGCAGGGCCTCTCTTGCTGGCTAGGACTCTGCTATGTGTGTGGGGCTGTCTCCTGACACTGGCGAGCCAGAGCCTCCCCGGCCCCTGTGGGCTCCCAGGCGGTGGGGACCCACCTGATGACCACGATGATGCCATCGAAGATGTTGTAGGGATTCCGGATGTAGCCCAGCGGACCAAAGGCCAGCAGCTTCAGCAGCATCTCCAGGGCAAACATACTCGTGAACACGATGTTGCTGATCTCCAGGGCGTTGGTCAGCTCGTCAGGCTGCGGGCAGCAGAGACGTCATCAGGGCCCACCCACGGCTCCCAGTGCCCCTCAGCAGGGGTGGGGGACTGCTCCACTGAACTAGGAGCAGGTAAGTCTGCATCAAGGGGCCAAGGGGCTGTGGCAGCATCTCAGAAGGAGCCCAACTGGCTGCTGTCTGGAGGAGAAAACAAGGACCCCAGCGATGTCCCCTCCAGCTGGACCCCAACCTGCCTGGCCCTCCCTGTCTGGCCCTGACTGTCCCTGGCCCTCCCCAGGCCCTGCCTGACCTTCCCACCAGAATGTCTGAGAAACAGTCCACAGACTTCCCCAGACCCCACAAGCACAGGCCATGGGAAAAGGGGCTGGAGCATCTGCCTCAGGGTTCCAGGGTGGGCATGTGGGTGCACGGGGTGCAGGGCACACAGTTGGTGCCTCCCAAGAGCTGCCCCGATCCCTGGTGGCCTTGCACACCCTTCCCTGTCAGCAGAAGGCCCCAGAGGTCCCTCTCTTACTGGGGATGTGCTGGCCCGCCTGTGTGTGTGCACACCTGCACCAGTGTAAATGCTGGTATGTGTGTGTGCCAGTGTATGGCCTGTTTGTGCGCACATGTGAGTTTGCATGTACCTGCATGTGCCGTGCATGTGCACAGGGCCTCCCACGTATACACATCTGTACACATGTCCACATCTGCACAGGTAAACCTTGCTTATGTGCGTGTGTGCACGTGCGTGTGTGTATACACGTGTGTGTGCAGAGGCTCTTCCTTGCCGGGGATTCTCTCCAGCCTGCTGCTGTCCCTGCCTAGGTCTCACCCTCACAAAGAGAACCTCCCTGCCGGGGCTGCTGGAGGCTAACACTGCTGGCATTTTCCCTGAATTGCTCCAGGATGAAAGAACATAGCTTAAATGACTTGAAAAGCCCAGAGGGTGGAAAACGAGGAAGGCAACCTGGTCATTAAAAAGTGAACTGGCCGCGGGGCTTCCCTCGTGGTGCAGTGGTTAAGAATCCGCCTGCCAATGCAGGGGACATGGGTTCAAGCCCTGGTCCGGGAAGATCCCACATGCCATGGAGCAACTATGCCTGTGTGCCACAATTACTGAGCCTGCGCTCTAGAGCCCACGAGCCACAACTACTGGAGCCCGTGTCCCTAGAGCCCGTGCTCCACAAGAAGAGAAGCCACAGAAATGAGAAGACCGTGCACCACAACGAAGAGTAGCCCCTGATCTCTGCAACCAGAGAAAAAAGCCCGCATGCAGCAATGAAGACCCAATGCAGCCAAAACAGGAAAAAAAAAAAAAAAAAAAAGTGAACTGGCCTCGGTCCCCAGAGTGGACGCCCTCTCCCTGCCGGACCCAGCCGATGCTCCTCCCTGGCGAGGCCCCAGTCCCGGGCAGGGGCTACTGGGGGGCCAGGCACCACACATACAATTCCTCCTCTGGGGGCCATTCCATACCACTGGCCTCTCCGGGCCACCCAGGGGCATTCCAGTGGGCACATTCTGGCTCATGTAAGGGGGGGCCACTCTCTGTGAGAGCTGGGCTGTGGGAGTCCCATCCTGAGAAGAGCACTGGGTGGCCTGGTGAGCGCCCTCAGCCCCCTGCTGCCTCTGGGATTGTGATTTCAAACCCCCACCCCAGACAGGAGGACCTCCAGGCGGGAGCCACGGTTTCTCCATTCACCCCTCAGCAGAGGCCCAGCCAAGGAGAAGCACGAGCGTTTGCTGAGTGGCTGATAAAAACGGCCACAACAGCTGACATTCAGCTCTAACGCCATCCCTGTTCCCCATCCCCCAGAAACCCCTCTGTGGGGCCCTGTAAGAGACTGAAGTCTCAAGGAGACACGAGGAACGTGCTCCCCGGGGGTCGCTCCAAGGGCTGTCCATTCAGGCCCACTTCACCTCTGGAGGGTGCACCGGGCCGCCTACCTGCTCATGGTACTCGATGCCCATGCTCAGCGTGTTGGTGAGGATGGCTACCATGATGCCGCGGTTGAAGTACTTGCTGTCCACGATGCGGCACAGCTTGCCGCTAAAGGAGGCCCAGACACGGCCCAGCCCTCCCTGCTCGCCTGCCACCGCCCGACGCTGTGCCCTCCGCCGCGTTCCTCCTGAGTCTGGCGTGTCCGCCGCTGGGGGTGGCTGCATGGGGTCACGGCGGTCTCCATGCCGCACATCCCGTGTGAATTCGTAGACCCCGTTGCTGTCCGAGTCTCCACTGTCTGAGTCGCTGAACTCCAGCTCGGGGTCCTCCAGGGCGCTGGTGCAGTACGGGCAGCTACTCAGCTCACAGGTCAGCGTGCCCGCCTGGGGGCTGGGCAGGGGGCAGGGCACGCTCAGGCCTGACAGACGGCTGGGGGCCTGGCCCAGTCCTGCAGGGAGAAGGATGTGGGCAGCCTCAGGCCGCTCAGCTGCAACACCAGGTGCCTGGGACCCACATGCACAAGCAGGCTGCCATGGGGTGAACGGTGTCTGTGTAGACATGCACATCGTACACATGTACATGCCTGGGCACTCACACCTGGGTATATGTGCACATGTGGGAACATTCATACACACCTCGGCACACGCCTGAGCACATGCACAGACACACATGCCCACGCCTGGGCACTCACACCTGAGCACATGCACGCCCTGCACAGGTACTCTCTGTTCACTCAAGGCTAAAAAGAGGCAGAGGGGCTCATCCACCAGGGGGCCATGCCATCCACAGAAATGTGACGTGAGCCACTTTCCAGCAGTCACGTTAAACGGATGACGTGACTGGGAACATTCCAGGTCACGACGCGCAGGAGCCATCGTCGCTCGGTGCTGCCTGCCCGGCTGAGTCTCTGGGGCCCAGGTGACTGCACCGGCGGCGGCTTAGACGCCCCACAGCCAGGAGCCCTGCGGGGCCAACCTGCCCCAGTGGGCAGTGCAGGACTATAGGCACGTGCATTTCGACACAGTGCCTCACTGTGTGAGGACACACACACCTCTACCCACTCCAGGCACCCTGAGGGCTACTGCCCGCGCATGCCACCTGGGAGGGCCTCAGTCTGCATGGGACGCCAGTGTCTGGGGTCGCAGTGTCCTGCCCGTCCCAGGTGGGTGAGGCCGGCACCTCAGGTGGGAGGACCGAGTATACTGGGAGGCACCCCGGCCCCTCTCTCCTCGGCCTTTGGGAGCTCTGTGACCTCGGCTTTCCCTTCCCTCTGCCCCAGCCTCAGTCTCCTCACCTAGAAAGGGGGCCGGCCACTCCTCCTGAGAAATGACCAGGCCATGGACAGTTGGTCCCTCTCAGGGCCAGGCGTGGGCAATGGAGCACAGCCCCAGGTTTTTTTTTTTCTAGCTTCAGAATTCTCATTTCCATATGGCAAACGCTCAGGGCTACAGGATGGATGGAGGTGGGGGGGCACCTTCTCCCATCTGAGGTGCCCAGGACCTCCCCCACCTTCTTCCCTTCATCCAGGGCTCCAAGGGAGGAAGGCTGAACTCACGAGGGTTCACACACAGGCGGGGATGTCCCAGGAGCCCATCCCCCACTCCCCACTGCTCCCCACAGGGTGATGTCCTTACCGTGCTCCCCGACCAGATGCTGGATCTTCTCGCAGGGGTCGGGGCTGCTCAGGCTCAGTGGGCTGTGCCCCCCGGCTCCCAGGGGTCCACCAGGACGCTTCCCCTTGGGCCCGGGGCCACCTTTGCCACTGCCTGCGGCCGAGGGCAGGATGGTGGGGTAGTTCATGGCGCCCAGCCCAGTGGCCAGCTTGAGGCCGGTGGCGGCGGTGGCCACAGCATGTGCCACCCGGGCCCTCTCCTGTGGCCCCTCCACGTGGCAGTCTGCATGGTACACGCTGTGCACTGACTCAGCGTCAGGGGGCCCATGTCCGGGCGAGGGAGGTGCTCCGGCCCGCACCAGCCTGGTGTCACTGCCGCCTGGCTCGGGGCCTGGCCGGCGTGGGCTGCCATGGCTGAAGTGGTAGTGGTGGTGGTGGTGGTGGTGGTGGTGGTACACAAGATGGTGGATGGAGGTGGCGCGCCCTCCCGCCCGCCGTGGCCGCCACCCAGCGCCCTGGCCGTGCGGCACGCCGCTGGGGTCCACCTTCTTGCGCCAGCGGCTCTGCCAGCGGGCATAGAGGCGGAGGCCACGGCGCTTCAGCTTGCGGCACACGTGGCCCACGTACCGGAGGAGCTCCTCATAGCAGCTGCCAGGCTCTGAGAAGCTGGCCAGCGTGCTGTCGTTGGACAGGTAGCGGGCCCGCTGCTCCCGCATCAGCTGGCTCTCCCGCTGCTTCGTCTCCGAGAACTGCGTGGCGATCACCACTAGGCACAGGTTGATCATGAAGAAGGAACCCACCTGTGGCGGGCGGGAGGCAGCGAGCTCACCGGACGAGTGCCCCAGGGAGGCAGGGAAGCGGGGACACTGGGACCCACCGCCCTGGGCGTCAGGACTGGGCAGGGCAGGAGACCAGGACAGCAGCTGTGGTTTCTACACAACAATCAAGCCCCTGATGAGAGAAATACTGAGCCCCAATGTGCGCTGCCCATTCTAGGGGCCCGGGATATGGCCCCAGGGTAGCCGGCGGCGGCAGGGCACCCTGTGATGGGCAGGGTCCTTGCTGATCCGATGTTGAGCCCCAGCATTTGGGATGGGTGGTGCAGGGTAGGTGCTCCTTGCCTGTTTGTGGACAGTTGCAGGACATGTGGGGAGACCCGCCTTCCCGTCATCTGTGTGGTTTGTCCCCTCGTCCTTCAGCTCTGTCCCCAGCCACACCCTCCCGCCCGGGTCAGGTCTTCCTCAGCCCCCACGGCTGCACTGTCCTCTGTGGCAGGGTCACCGGGTGACACTCTGCTGTTTGTGATTATGGTCTGAGATAAGGCAGGACAGGTGCCTGATTTAATTCACTGCTGGTCTTTTCAAACCCCGCCCCAGGCACCAGGGGCCACTGAGAGAACCAAGTGAGGGCCACCCCTGGGGGCCACAATCCCTGTGGAGGGCCGTGCCTGGGGGAAACACCTATACTGTGGAGAACTGTGCTGAGAGCCCATGTACACTGTGGGGGGACTGTGACCCCAACAGGTGATCCTGACTCTCCTGCAGCCTCCTGATAGGACCTGGCCATGGGAGGGCCTGAAGGACTGTCTGAGGTCTCTCTCCCCTCCCCACACACACAGGCTTCTCTGTCCTCCCAACCCTGCCCACCTCCTCCTGGGGCTGGACAGAGTCTCCCCCCAACTCCACCAAGGGCCCCCACCCACCTGCCCTGGACACGACGGCCCTGGGTCTCTGCTGCCCCCGCCCTGCCCTATAGCTCAGTCAAGTGCAGGGACCCAAGAGGGCCAGCAAAGGCCAAGACGGCGCTGCACCAGGGGCACAAGCAGGATCTCGCTGGACCCCGGGGACAGGACGACGCCTGCTAACAGAGGAGGAGCTTGGGATCTGAGACAGGGCTGTCGCAAAGCGGGGGCGCCCCCCCACCCCTCGCCCCGTGCATCCCACTCCGCCCCTGCACTTACAATGATGAGCAGAATGAAGTAGATGAAGTTGTAGAAGGAATGAGCGTCCATGACGTAGTACATGATGTCCACCCAGCCCTCCAGCGTGATCACCTGGTGGGGGGCAGGCGGCTGGACACACGGACAGCCCTGAGAGGGCAGTGGGCCCTCCACGCCTGCCTGGTACCAGCCCCCAGGCCCCGCGTGCTGGGCGCCCAGTGCAGGGGAGACCCAGAGCCCACCTGGAAGATGGCGATCCAGGCATAGCCGATGTTGTCGAAGCTGATGGCCCCGTTGTGTGGGTTGGAGTCGCCTGAGCGGCACACATTGTAGTACTGGTTCCAGTTGATGCAGGTGTGGTGGCCCGTGCCACCGGCGCCCTCGGCCTGTGGCTGCCCATAGGCCTCCCAGCCCAGCGTGCACTCCACGCGCAGCTCGCGGCGGCTGGGGATGTGCGAGCACTTCTGCATGCCGTTGTCCCGGCGAGAGGAGCAGATGAAGGGGTTTTCCTCACCCTCCTCCGGCTGGTAGTATGGCCGCAGGAAGCTGAGGTTGCTGTTCCTGAAGGCACAGAGATGGAGAGACAGAGAGAAACAGACAAACAGACACAGTCAGACAGAGATAGAAACGCAAATAAAAACCAAAAGTAACAGAGACAGACCCAGGCCCACCAGTGCTAGTGCTGCTCCAGGAAGGGTGTGTCCCTGGGAACAGGGCCTGGAGGAGGCCTGTTAGGGGATGAGCCTGGAGAAGGAGGAGACTGTTGGTGGAAGAGCCCGTTAGGGGAGGAACCTCTGGGTGGGGAGGGGAGGGGCCTGGAGGGGGAGGAGCCTGCTAGAGGAGGAGCCTCTGGAGGCAGGCCCTGGGAAGAGCAGACTGGGGCATGTCCTGCAGGGTGGGCAGGGCCCCTGCACCTGGCGAAGGTGCTGTCCAGGAAGCAGCGGTTGCGCAGCAGTCCAGCCCAAAGCTGGACACCCACGATGCCGAAGATGAAGAAGACAAAGAAGCAGAGCAGGAGGACGTTCCCGAGCATGGGCAGCGTGTCCAGCAGCAGCGTGACCAGGATCCTCATGCCTGCAGGTGGCAGGGCAGCCGGTCAGTGCAGCAGAGCCCTCCTGGTAATCCCTGAGGCGCCAGGCCCTCCTGGGAGCCCTGAGCCCTCTGCCATTCACAGATGGACACCAGCACCTCTGTGAGGGACATGAGCTGGGCCCCCCCAAGTCCAGCATGCCCCAAAAGACAAACATCTGCGGTAAGACACCACAGAGGGGAGCAAGGCCATGGCCTGGAGGGGCTCAGGGCGGGAGGTCCCTGATCCTTGCGAATGCCGTATGGGAACACACTGCAGCCAGGCAGGCCCCCAGGGTGACCAGACCAGGAGTCCCGCGGCCCCCGGCTCCTGCATGCGAGCAGTAGCCTGGGGGTCTTGCAGCAGATACTGGGTTCAGGAACCAGCGGTTCTTTCCATTCTCTGTGAGAATCACGTTGAGCAGAGCCCTGCACTGGAGGGGAAGCAGGGGCTATGGGCACCCCAGGGCAGGAAGCGGCTTTTGAGAGGCAGTTTTGAAGCTCTTGTTCCTGGGTGCGATGGGCTGCGTGTACACCAATTATTCGAGGGAGTGGGTCAGCCAAGCCCCATGCGCCCCTTGGTCCCGGGCCTGCCCCCGTCCCAGACCTCAGTGAAGATAAGACTTGTTTCCAGAAACAAGCAAGAGCTGACCTAAGGGTGCAGGCAGAGCCCTGGGCCAGGGGGCTGAGCCAGGGGGCCTCGTGGAGAGCACCCTGGAGCTGTTGGATGGCAGAGGTGGGACCCCTGGGGTCACAGCGGGGAATCACAGCTGGGAGAAGCACTTAAGTTTCAGAAATGGCCAGGAGGAAGATTCATCAGGGACAAAGTGAGCACCACCCTGGCCAGACAGCAGGTGGCTCAAAAGGCCACATGTGGTCCAGCGTCAGAGTGGACCCCAGGCAGCCAGAGTGAGACACTGGGGGCTCACTGCGAGGGGCACATGGTCCTGTTTGGGACCAGGGCATGTCCCCAGAGCAAGGCCAAGCTGCTGGCATTTGGTCTGAAAAGTGAAGATCTGTGTTGTGAAAGGGGCTGTATTATCACTTCACACACTGAAAGGGGGTCCAGGTGAGCAGACTGAGTGCCTGATGGTGCTGGGCACAGAGCCAAGAACCACGTGTGACACCTCACCTCAACCCACAGCCATCCTTGAGGAGGACCACATTCAGAGTTGGGTAAACTGAGGCTCAGAGAGGTACAGTACTTGCCCAGGATCACATAGCATCTGAGCCCTGTCTGATCCCTGAGGGTATAGCCAGGTGGCAAGCAGAAGGAAGGCCCAGGGGTCTCACAGCATAAACCTCACCCACCTGCCCTTTGGTGGAGCTGACAGCCCCAGGGGGAGGGAGTGACCCACACTGGGGGTGTATGACTTCTTGGAGGGGCCGCAGGACACACCCTGACCACCCAGACTTCAGTGCTGAGGCCACCAGGACCCAGGCCAGGCAGCCAGAAAGGCTGTGCACACCTACACAGCACACACAGACCCACATGCACGTGTGTGTATACTCACTTTACAGTCACACGGGCACCACCCACACACAACCCCAGGAAAATTAACGGCTGAATTCGATCACATCCCTGAAGACTTGGAAGACACAGAAACTCCCAAACAGCCCCATGTGGGCAGATGACCTGGGTCCGGACAGACCACATTCCAAACGAGCAGCCACATGACCCCCTGGAAGCTTCTCCACCCTTCCCTGAGCACCAGACCCTTTGGCAGAACTCAGACCTGAGAACCAGGGTGGGACAGACAAGAGAGCAACCAAGTCCTGCACAGCTCTCGGGCACGACCCCAAATGCTGTGCAGATGAGGAATCTGAGGTTCAGAATGGCCCCTGTCACTCAGCAGCACTGTGGGGAGTCGGGACCCCACACAGTCTGACTGCGCATCACACCCCAACTCGGCCCAGGGTTGCTCTGTCCTCCCCAGAAAAGCAGTGGCAAATCCTCAGGTTCCCATGGCGAGTGGCAGGAGGCCAGCCTCTCCTACCCCGGCACTGGGGTCTGGGCTGGGGCCAGAGCGTCCAGACGCCACACAGGCAGTGTGGCCTACTGGCCTTGTGCCCCAGTGGGTCCTCAAAAGCTCTCATCAGGGCTGGCAGGACACGCCTGTCCCAGGCCCGGGTGTGACGGTCACTTACTGGGCACACGGTTGATGGCACGGAGGGGCCGCAGCACACGCACTGTCCGGATGGCCGAGAGGCTCACGTTGTGTCCATCCAGAGAGTACTCCATCATGCTAGGAGCGGGGCAGAGGGAACGGGCGCTCAGGCGGCCGACAGGTGCTCTGGGGTCAGAGCCAGGCCAGCGGGCACACGGTTCTCTCCAGGGCACCCTGCCAGCTGAGGCCAGGAGGCCCAGGGCAGGTGAGCACATGCCAGAGGCCTGGTCCCCACACCAGGCACCCAGCCTGGCGTGGGCTCCAGGGCAGGGGAAGTATAGCCTTAGGTTACCACTGGGGGCTCCTCACCACTCACAGGCCACTCCATCACCCTGTGTCTGTCCTGCTGTCCCTGGTGCTGGCACAGGGAGCCCTGGACAAATGTCCTGCCCCTGGCACCCCAGACCCAGCTACCCCCCAGACCCAGCACCACCTGAGTACACCTCCCCATCCCTCTTCCTGGGGGACCCAGGGGCTGCCATGGGGTCTGAGGGGGGCAGGGCTCCCAGCCAGGCCTGGCCAGGCGCAGGGGCCGCCCTGGTCTGGTCTGCGGTGGGGCAGGGCCATACCCCGCCATGACGATGAAGAAGTCCAGCCTGTTCCACGTGTCGCCCAGGTAGCACTTCTGCCCGAACAGCCCGAGGGCAATCATCTTGATGACCATCTCCACCGCGAAGAAGGCGAAGATGAAGTCGTCAAACGCCTGCAGGAGAGGGGCCTGAGAGCTGGGCCTGCACCCCTCACACCCAGCCCAGGTCACCTGTGGCCAGTCCCGCCCCGCCTGCCCCGCCCCGCCTGCCCCGCCCACCTCCAGGATGCTGCAGCGCTCCGAGCGGCACTCGACGTCCTCGCAGGGGCGGAACATGCCCAGGGTCACGCAGTTGAGCATGATGACCAGCATGCTGACGTGCTCGAACCATGTGGGGCAGGTGCCGAGTTAAGGGTCCATGTGGCAGGTGGGGGAGCCCCAGAACCCACCCCCAGCACCCCCTACAGCTGCCACAGGGACAGTCCCTCAAAATCCGCGCCCCCGTGCCCAGGCCATCAGCTGGGCAGTGAGGGACAGACCCCCAACACCGGCCTCTGGACACTGCTGCCAACCCCTCATATACAGCAGGACCCTGGATGGAGGCGGGAGACCAGCCACTGCCCCTCTGCCAGACTCCCCCAACTGTGATGCCCTAAACTGAGATCAGCCCCTCAAATTAGCAGTCTCACCAGCACTGTCCAGCTGGGACCCCAAGTACCACAGACACCTCATGAGGGCAGCCCTGAAGACCTCTCCCCCTGGCCCTGCATGAAACCCTCCGTGACCCCAGCAGAAGGAGAACGCCCTGACCACAGCGATGGGCGATGAGCAATGTGGACTTGAGCCCAGCTCAGTGCCTGGGCCCGGAGGACCCGCAGCCCTACTGTGTGCCCAGATGAAGGGGGCCGGGACATGGACGAAGGACAGGTGAGTGAGGACACCCTCCGCCCCAAGTTAGTCCTGGGAGTGGAAGCCGCCAGCCCGTGAAGGGTCCTGTCCAGGAGAGTCTTCCCTTTGGCAGGAGGGTATCCAGCCAGGACTTTAGGGCGCCGGGCCAGCAGCCAGGGCTGCATCCCCTTGTGCTGTGTGAACCTGGCCACCCTGTGGGGTCGCTGGCCCTCAGAACGAAAGTCACCCAGGATCCCAGAATGCTCAGCCATTCTGGGAGTGGCCACCAGGTGGCACCGTGGCGCCACAGAGGCCATGGCATTACTTTGGCTATGACGCCCTCAGTGGCTGTCTCCAGACAGGGGTGCACCCCCATGTTCGCTTCCGTTGGCTCATCAGGAGATCGGGGAGCCCTGTGGTGGGCCGGCCGTGTCATGTATGAGGAAGGGACCCACACCCCAGGCAGGTGACCCAGGGGCTGCCCGATGGGGGATAGGCTGCGTGGGGGGGATCCCCAGCTGGGGGACTGGGGCTTCACCCAAACTCCTGGATGCAGGTAAGTGCCCGTCAGATGGGAGGGCCCTGGAGGCATTCCTTGTACCCCACACACCACCCCCATGTCAAGAACCCCCTCCCACCGCGACCCACCCTCACCCTCCAAGGCGGGCTTTCTGTGGGGCTGCCTGCCTGTCCTGCCCTGTGCTGGAGAGAGCGAGGGCGCGAGCAGGAGGCCCCCAGAGGTCTTCTCTGGGCTGGTGCGGGGTGGATGGGGGACTTTCCTTTAAAGAGAGAGAAGTCAGCACTTGGAAAACACCGCGTGTCAGTAGACAGCCTGAGAAACCTGGTGTTGAGACCCTGCACCTACCCACTTGGGGACCACCCCGTCCTGCAGCCCCCACCCTGCCCTGCAGCCCCGGCCCGCCCGGCGCTGAGCGGCCTGAGGCAGGGACAGCGCATCCACCCTCAGGTTCCTTGGCTGCAGCATGTACTGGCTGTGTGACCTGGAGCCTTGGTGCCCCTCCGTTTCCCCTGTGTTCCTCCAGCTGGGTAGGTGGACGCGTATCTCATGGATCAACGAGGTGACCAAAGCAGCAGGGCCCTGCTCCCCAAAATGAAGGTCAGTCCCAGGGCCGTGAGTGCCCACTCCATGCTCCACCACATGTGGGCACTGGGCCAGGGGTCCATGCGGCCCCACCTGTGAGGAGCTCTGAGGCCAAGGGTATCTCACAAACTGGCAGAGGCTGTGCTGTGACTGGAGTCAGGGAAGGACAAGGCCTGGGGAGGTTCAGGGCCTGCATGCTTATTCAGGTGTACAGGCCCCGGGATCAGGGCAGGAGGAAGGCCAGGCCATGTGTGTCCTTCCTTTGTGGGGCCCGGCAGCCTGCCCCGCCCAGACCCCTCTCCCCCTGCCTCCCTGCAAGGGCAGGGCCAACAGTTGCCGCTCTGAAGCCCCTGGCCCTTGGCACACTGCACAGTGTGGCACTGGGCCACCAATGTAATTACCCGTTCCCACTGAGAGCACCATAATTACACTTAATGGGTTCAGCAGTAACAAGTGCCTTTGCTGTGATTTGGCTGCAGAAAAACAGAAATCAGCGTCCTGCTAAGACAGCGCTGAGGGCCCAACCCCACAGGCCTGTGACAGCGCAACGGGAGCTGGCTGAGAAGGGCTGGCAGGGTGGCTCGGCGCACAGTCAGGGCCTGTGGGTGCTGCAAGGTCCCCGTGGGTGGGGTGGGGGGAGGAGAGAGCTGCAGCCGAAAGCTGCTCCAAACACCCATAGTGCACCTACTGTGCGCCAGCCAGTCCAGCCCGCCCTGCACAGACTGGGAGCTCTGGTGACTCGCCCGAGGGCACCGGGCGTGGGTCCCAGGCTGTGTCATGGGATGCTGAGGCCACACACTGAAGCCAGTCCTAGGGCACCGCAGCTCTCCCCGTGTCCTGACCCCGCCGGCTGCAGCCCCTGGGAGCTGCGCACGGCTCCTCTGTCCTTCACTGCTGCAAACAGCACCTCTGGAAGAGGGGCTGCAAGGGTGTCATTGTCTGTCTCCCAGGAGTGGGGGTGGGTTCTCAACACTAAAGCTGTGGATGACATGCCTGAAGGACAAGCACCCCCAGTCCCACCAGCGAGGACACTGCCACACAGCAGGGAGCAGGCAGCTCTGGGTCTGGGCGCACGAGGCTCAGACGCTCCCCAGGCCTGGCTGGACCCTTGGTCTTGCAGGCATGCAGCCCCCCCCAACCCCTGCAGGGAGACAGCACAGAGCAGCCTGGGCCCTCAGTTTGCCCATACAGGCAGTGGGGGTGTGGGGACTGTCTGCTCCTGGGTCCTGGGACCCTCCTTCCTTGCCCCACTTCTTCGAGCTCTCCCCTGACCCCGAGTGCTTCTGCCGGGCCAGCTCCCACCTCCCACATGGCGAACATCCTGCTCCATCCAGGAGCATCAGGGTTTCCAGCCCAGCCCAGCCCAGCCCAGCCTGCCTCTGAGCCCTCAGCTCTTCCCTTCTTCCACCAGCTTCATGCCCCTCATCTCAGACTGATGTCGTGAGCCTGCTGCCCGATTTCTCCCAGGCCCATGCCCATGTTCACTCTGGGATCACCATAGACCCCGGAGCTGGCGTTGAGCAGAGCTAAGAACCTTGGTCCTCAACGGTGCAGTGCATGTCTGGAGCCCTGGGCTGGGCTGGGCCAGGACCCATGAGACGTTACTTGATCAGGGGCTAGGGGGGCCCAGTCTCCAGCAAGAGCCACAAACTAGGCTCCCAGCAACTTGCAAAGATAGCCCAGCTTGAGGTCCTGGGCCGGGGTCCTACCTCGATACCTTCCCAAAGCACTAACAAGCAAAAACCACCCACCAACCTCGGCTTTCTCCTGACCCCACTGGCCCCATGGCCCCACCTGCCACCCCTGCCCTGGAGGCAAGCCCTAGGGGCTCAGGACAACCTCCACGGCCACAGTGACCCCATGCAGCAGGATGAGCACAGGTTTGTGTGTGAGGTGGGGACACTGTCCATGTGGCTGGGGTGACCAACCTGGTCAGCACGGCCCAGAAAGTTCCCTATCCATCCTCATGAGCATGCCCCCTTTGGGGTTACTATTCTATGATACACCCCAGCCCCCCTCCCCCACCACCCCAAACACCCTGGGAGGGACGAGCTCCTGGGGTCCTGCTCATCTTTCTGTGCAAAGTGCACACAGGAGAAGCACTTAGAGCCACCCTGCCCAGGGAGGAGCTCCCCACGCACAGGGTCCCACTGGCCCTGCCCAGAGAGGGGATCCGCCAGCGGTGGGGGGAGGGCTCCATCAGCCCCACACGTCACAGCCGTTTCCTGGTCACGCCTTTGTGGGCAGCTGAGGACAGGCGGTGCCAACCGGACTCTCATCACAAGGCCACTGACTTCCAGAGGCTTAATTACACAGATGGATTTTCTGAGTTTTAATTCAAAATCCTTTAGGTTTTGAACCAAATTCTACAAATTAGAGTCAATTTCCACTGCGGGTCCAGAGAAGCCAGGCTGATGTGTGGCTGGGAAGAGGCGGCTGTGCCAGCACGGCAGGGGGGCTGTGGTGCTGCCTGAGGCCTGGCCACACACAGAGGGGCTGGGGGCATGGGTCTCTCCATGGGACCCCATAGCCAGGAAGGCTCTGCCCAGGTCCAGAGGTTGAAAGAAGGGCAGAGAGCCCCCTGACCCATGTTCCTAGACCACCCTAGGCCTTGACCCATTAGGACCCAGGGATGTCCCCTGGCCTAACAGGCCCCTGGTGTCCAGCCTGGGCAGGGTGGGGCATGGAGTGACTCTCCCTGGGGCAGCCTGTCCCCAGGCTGGGGACTTGCGAGAAACTGGTCCCCAGAGAGGTGTGGAAATGAGCCCAGAGCCAGGGCTAGAGCACGGATCAGCAGTGGGAGCAGAGCACTGGTCCGTCCAGGGACCCCTCAAATGCTGTACCCCCCCGTGGGTCCCACACTCCACCCACAAAGCCCTCCCAGCATTTGGCCGACCTGTCCCAGCATCAGCCTCCTTCCGGTCTCCTCCCTCCTCCCTCCCTTCTCATTTCTGCAGCCTCGGTGGGGCTCAGCAAGGACTGACCCACCTTCCCACCCCAGCAGCCATGCCCGTGGGCCAGCCTCCCCCAGTCAGTGCAGAGCAGGTGCTGGCTCCATGGTCTCCCAGACCATGACAGCAATGCACCCCAAACAAATCCGATGCCCGGCCCCCGAGGGCCCGGAGGCCAAGAGGGATGGTGGCCGCTGTCCGTGGTGCTGAAGTGGCCACGTCCCAGCAAGCTCAGGGCTGGGGAGAGGCACTCGCCCAGCAGCCAGAGGGCCTGCTCACCCAGGGCCTAGGTTTTGCGGCACACCACTCCAGAGTTTCTAGTTCCACGTTCTTTCTTATTCCTGCACTTCCAGATGGTTAAAAGCACACCAAGGGCTGCTTGGAACATGGCACTGGCCCGCCTGGAAGCCAGCTCGGAAGTGGGGCCACCCCAGAGGGCAGCAGGGCAGACATGGTCATCTCTGCACTATGATGCCGCGAGGTGGGGAGCTGGCGTGCGGGGAGTGTGTGTGGAGGCCAGAAGGGGCTCGAGGCCAATCAGCACACGTCAGGGGCTGCCAGCACCCCACTGGCAGCCATGCCACTGTCTCTCACCAATGATGGTGGCCTCCAGGGTCCTGGAACAGGGTGGGGGTCCCCGAGGCCTGTGTGGTTTAAGGTGGTGTGGCCCAAAGGGTGGTCCTGGATCCCCCAAACCAAATTCTCATTATTACGCAGCTGCCCACAGCCCACCCAGACCTGCTGGCTCAGGGTCTCTGGGGCCCACAGATGGGCCATCTCTCACTCCATGAGTCCGGGGATGAGAACCCGACCCCCAATTCTACCACCAGCCACCCCTCACCCTTTCTTAGCCTGTTTCCCTACCTGTAAAACGGGGGTGACAACAGTTACTTTTCAGATGCTGAGATTCTCCCAGACCCCCTTCTATAAAGTATCCCCCATCCCGTCCCTCATCCTGATGAAGGCCACCTCGGCCCCTCCCCCTGTTGGCCCCAGACACACGGAGGGAGGGGACGTTATGTCTTCCCCATGCTGTGGATGCTGAGGACGCAAGCAGGATCTGCGGGACAAAGGGCTGGATGCTGTCACCAGGAGACAGACAGCGGAGCTGGGCGTCCCTCATCAGGAGACACCGCTCCAGGACCCAGAGCCACAAACCAACGGGGAATACGATGGCTCGAGGGCCGCAGGGAGGGGTCTCCAGAAGTGGCTGAAGTCAGGCCCCTCCAGTCACAGTGGCCCCCACACAGGGCTGTGTAGGAACGAGGCCTTGACCCCACAGGCCATGCTCCCCCCATGGCCATCGTGAGATAACACAGAGGCAAAGCTCTCAGGAGGATGAGAAGGCCTGAGCTGGCTGCTCCCCATAGCAAGCTGCTGGGCCAGCTCAGCTCCCTTAGGCCCACCCAACCCTCGACAGTCCACATGAGCGTCCACATGCCCAGGCCAGTGATGCAGCAGAGGGATCCCGGCAGCAGGAAAATGGGAGCCCAGGGTAGGGTGGCCCAGAGCCCCCGACTCAGGACGCCTGGGTCAGCACCTGTGCCCTCCTCACCATGGCCATGGCCACCACCCAGGCAGGCCACAGTGGCTTGAGCTGGGACCACCGTGGCAACCCCCTCTCCCCCCCTGCTGTCTGCCCTGTTCCCACAGCAGCCGTCCAAGCCCCGTCCTCCCCGCACTGCCAGGGCCCAGGACACACATACGAAAGAGGTGGCTCTAGGTGATTTCGACCCCTAGCAGACAGGCAGGACCAAGCTGGACACACCATATGGGAGGCCCTCGGGGCTGCTGTGCATGGGTGGGGAGCCGGAGATGGCTGCGCTTCCAAACCCACCCCAACATCCAGCGCCGTGACCTCCTGTGTGGTATGGATGAGCTGCCCCAACAGACAGGGAGATGTGAGGACCAGCTTGAAGGGTGGACACCAGGCTGGTCCTAGGGCTCCCGACCGGACCTACACCAGACCTGCCTGTAGACACACAGCCCGGGGAGGCGGGCCCTGGTGGGTAAAACCTTCCCTGCCCTGGGGGAGGGGGCCCTGCGGCCGCCCCTTCCCTGCTGCTCTGCGCCCGGGCACCTTCAGCCGGCACGCCCACGTGGCCCCAGGTTTCATCTCTGGAAGCACTCAACCTTGCGCTTCCAATCTGCTGGAGGAAGAAAGCACATGTTTATTTATGGGGGAGGAAGCACTGTCTTCCTGCGTCTTGCGGAAGAACCAGCTGGACCACTGAGGAGGGGGCGTGAGTGCGCCCACGCCCTAAGGCCTTGGCTGAGGCAAAATGACAGCCCCGGGGCCCCGATACCCCACGGGGCCCAAGCCAGCCGCGACAGAGGATCAGTGGGAGGCATGGGAGACCCCAGGACCGGACCCCTCCTGGCACAGCACGGCCCCCAGAACTGAGCCCTCTGTCCACACGTTCACCAAGAACCGGGCAATTCCCGGACCCACCGAGGCTGTGGGCCCAGATACCCTGAGGTCCACAGCCCAGGTGCAGGTGGCCCACCACACACCAGGCAGCAGCATCTGCGATCCCAAGACCAACACGTCGAATGTCTCAATGTGAGGGAGGTGGCAGTGCTGTCCTATCGGCACAAACACGTCCTGCGACGGAGCAGGAAAAGCCCACGGTGGGGAACAGGGGACCCATTATGGAGAATGCGCAACCCAGGAGGCTGCTTTGCAACGTGCACGCCAAGCTCTGCAAAGGTCCAGAAGCCTCACTCCAGGGAGAACGTGGCCCGCTGCGGGTGAGGTAAGATGGGGCCAGGACAGGGGAGAGGAAGGGGGACACTGTAGTCGTGCATTGTTGGTGCAATGACAAAGGTGAGGTGTCAGGAAGTCCAGGCGCTGTGGCCCGTGTGGGCTGTTGACAGACCAGTTTCCTGGCTTTGGGGCTACCCACCCAGTTTCCTGGCTTTGGGGCTACCCACCCACCCAAAGCAGACACACTTAGCCCTATGCTCACCAGGGCAGCGGGAGACCACGGGCCTCCTGCTCAGCCCCTCAGGCGGTGACCCACATCTCCCAACGTTGCCACGGAAGGAGACTCACAACAGCCTCCCCTTGCCAGTATCTGAACAGAGAGCTGCGTTGTTGTTTTTTTTTTAATCCGATACACACACCACTAACAAGAGAGGATGCCCTAATCAGCCTCACACTGGCAGGAACCCCACTGAAGGACCGGTGGCACACACCCCAGACCCACGACCGTGGCCCTGTGATGGCCGCCGCCCAGGCCGTTCTGAGCACCCCCCAGAGGAGCAGGCAGGATGGTGATGGCTGAGCTGGCCAGCAGGGCCCTCTGTGGACCACCAGCTCACATAGACCTCAGAAGGCTCCTGGCAGGACCTATGGCCACCGTCCAAGTGCAGCTCCCACTCTGGACACCCGGGAGGCTGGGAGATGAGGAGTCAACCACCTGGAAGTTCCTCAGACGGCTAAACCCTAAGTCCCCACACAGTCCAAGTTCACACCCAAAAGACCTGAAAACCAGTGATTAACACACATACACACGCATTCACAGCAGCCAAAAGGTGGGGACAACCCCAAGGTCCAAGAGGCAAATGGACAGAGTGTGGTCCATCTGCGCACTGGAGCGTTACTCAGCCATGAAGAGGAGTGAAGTACCGACACCTGTGACAACACAGATGCGCCTTAAAAATGTGGTGAGCGAGAGACCAGACACAAAGGCCATGTTTTGTATGGTTCCATTTGTATGAAACACCCAGAACTGGCAAATCCTGAGGCAGTGAATCAGTGGGTGCCAGGTGCTGGCAGAAGGTGGGCGGGGGTCCCTTTGAGATGAGAAAATATTCCAGAATTAGGGAGACGTAGTGATCGGCCACATTGTTAATGTACTAAATGTCCCTGAACCGTTCACTTTATAATGGCTAATTTTATGATATGTGAACTTCATCTTGGGTGATGCTGTTTGAAACGTGCCTCCCATGGGCAGGCCCAAGGGCAGTGCAGCCTGTGGGAATGGGAGGGATG